GATGCTTACCCTAGCTGTTCTTTGAGTAACCTTCCACTCCACCCCCCCCCACCCCACCCCCCCCCCCCGGGGTGGGGTGGTATGGGTTAATTGGGGGACTTGAAGTCCACTCATCTAAAGTGGCCAAGTTTGGACAACACTGGCCTAGGACTATACCAATCTTGACTTGAATGTGTTCACTAGGAACAAAAGGCTGCCATTACTAATAATCCAAAAAAGAATGTGCCTGATTTAAATGTCACCCACTGATTTCAATAGGATAAAAATGTGCTCAATTCAAACTTCATTGCTATATTATGGGATTTCAAATGCATTAAGGCAGTTTTTATTACAAGACAATGTTTTGGACTGAGTTGAACAGGTATATCTGGGGAGTAATAAGGAATATCACTTCTTATAGAATAAACTATAAAACCGTGGTGTAAAAGTCAATAGCAATCACTTAAATACAATGAAAAATGTCAAATTCTTCCTTGGAGATTTATTTTTATACCTCATTTACTACTTTCTTTACAGACCATTTAATTCAGATGTTCAAGACATTATATACTCGTTGAGTAATTGGGATTGACTCTAGCAGTTCTTAACTAGCAGGAAACTAAATACATGCCGACATTACATTTGCTAGCTGTACAACTGTTAATTAGATGAATCAAAGCTGATACATTATTCCCTAATTAACCTTAAATATTGCCTGATGTTATTACATGTGCAGCGTGGCAAATTATACTGAGCAGAGCTGAATGAGTAAGTTTTTCTCAGGAAGTTAGCAAAATTCTTGTTAGTGATTCTAATCTTCTAATGGAATATAACTGCTTCATAGTACATAACATTGTTTAAGTTCTTGACAATCGGGCTTTTTAGCTTGGTCTAGCGCTCTAGTTAATCTACACTATAATTTGGCTCCCACTCATGAATGAATGAACCAGCTCCAAAATGGCATGGTGAAGGAGCAAGCAAGTTTCTCCATTGCCCAGACAACTTCCTGAATGATCCAGGCTCTTCTACACACCCTGTCACATGGTGGGCAAACTTTAATGAAAAGTCTCAAGAAGTCATACGAATTGTCCTTCTGTAACACTCAGTGGCACAGATTATTTTGTTCCCATAATAGTTTACCTTACCTGGCAGGTGACTATCTCAGTGAATATTTAAACTGGAAAAATTATTTGGTTACTAAAATGTGACATCATTTGCACTGTGGTTTAAATCAAACACTCTGAACGAATCATCATAAGAAACATTTTCAGACAACTTATTTTCAGCACTGAGTTGTTCGCTGTTGAGATAAATGCAAGACAATGTGGAGTTGCTTCTGGCAAGCTGATCTTCGCCCATTTCTAATGTAGGATATTTCTTTTTGGGGTAAATGTTGTGTTTTCTTCTGACGCTATGATCAAGGGAAGCATAACACATTTGGCGATCAGCTGTCTGCTACAAAAAAAAAAAAACAATATTATTGATCATGTCATTTCTTTTACTATGATGGCAAATAACTACCAGTAAAAATAACTCAGTTGTATGATACACCTAAATGAAATGATAATATAAATTTGCAGTTATGTGTTTGGCAACTGCTTGGAAACAGGGCTTTTTCCTCAGCTGGTTTCCTACCTTATCTAATCACCCATTCAACATTTCTATAGTGGGAAATTTTATTCTCTGCCTCCATTGGACCCATTCTCTGAATCCATTGGAACAGGGTCATAAAGTGTAAGTTAATATTGGTTTCCTTTTCTTAATCTGAGTCGCTCATCAGAATCCTCCTTGCTGATACATTTTTTTTCTATTGCAATCCTTTGAGCATTTTCTTTCTGAATTTTATCAAACTTACCATGCTTTTAGGAGTGATCTTGGGCTTCCTGCATATCAATACTCAGGTTGCTAAAATATATAACTTTTATTTTATGAGCAGATATTTTATGTGCAATATAATGTTCAGATTTGGAAAAAAAATAATAACCATAAACCATGCACATTTAGACTCTTTAATGAGATCTATCACATTCTATAACTTATAGTTATTGGGAAAGGATACTGGAGGACGGATGTTAGCTAACAGAGATTTTCTCACTTTTCTCCACAACCTGTAGGGCTCTTGATTTCCTGCTAAACCCAAAACATTGAGATTTGACATTCTCCACACTGACTGTCATCTTTGTATGGGACTTGCTGTTGGTATTTCCTTATTTTTGTATTCATTGATTAAGATTATTATGAGGAGCTTAATGTAGATACTTCTGTCACCACCATACTTAGTTCTGATGTGGAGTTCACTGCTGATCCACTTGAACCAATAGTTACTTGCTAGTTCCATATACATGTGGAATATTATATTTTTGACTGCTATTGTGTTGGTATACTGTGTAAGAAACTATACATTAACATCTCATTTTCCCTATCTATTTAGAAGAGCTAGTTCTACATCTTGATCTCACATACAGTAACTCCATTTCACTTGGGGCAGAACTTCCTACTTCCTCTCCAACCACCCACCCTACTTGAGACCTTGAATAGTCATAGCATAATAAACATAGGACAAATTTTCCTTCTACCACTATTAAGAAGAAACTTTTTCTGAAGGCACTTTCATCTGTTCTTGTGTTATGAGGACTCTTATATGGGTTATAAACTTTCTGTAAGTGAGTTATTGCAATGATGTTGCTGTGTTTTGAGATAGCCAGGAGATAAGTCTCTCACAGGTGACTTCACTAAGGCTTTAGCAATCTTGGTAACTTCTCAGCATATGTGCCATGTCTAAATTTGCAAGCCAAATTTGTAAGCCATGTAGTTGCAACACTCAACTTTTATTAGGTTAGATTTATGGCAGAATATGAAGCAGAATTTGACAAAGTGGTTCCTGTCCAACTTTCATATCCTGAAAATGGACCCCCTGCCAAGTAGACAGTTAGCTACTCACTCATTTATGTGATATCACAGAAACCACCAGTTATCTAACTATTCTTTGAATGGTTGTCTATGAATTCACACAACCCATCCTATGTTTCCCAATTCACAGATTAGTTGTGTTGATCTTGGGGACTGAGGAGTAAGTAGGAGCCATGCTCAAGAATATTTGTTCAGTGGGCAGGTCTCCTATCAGAATTTTAACCTCAAGAAGGTTCCAAATAAATCTTATTCAAGCACAATCCAATTGTGTGAATTCACAGACCCACCGTTAATGGTAATTAACTAGGTCATCTGACACTGAATCACTTTAATAGATTATACCTGTCTTCACCACTGTAATCACATGTTACCCTACCTGTTGTCTTGGAACCCTTGCCTCCATAATTTTTTTATGGAGTAATAAAACAAGTTAAAATAATAAATGGAAAGAAATAAATGTAACATATCTACATTAAGATTGGTACTGTGTAAGATTTATAAATATTCCAGGACTAGAATTAAGCAGCAAGTTGGCCAAGATTTTGCAGGTGAGATTCAGTATTTTAGGGTAGTGAAGACCCAGGCAGACCATTTAGCACCATAAAGAGGCTTTGAAAACAGCTCTTACAAACTAAAGAACATCTCTATAAACAAACTTGTACAAACCTGTACATCAGTGGTGGATCTAGGGGAATGGGCATTCATTTGCTCATAGCAGCTTTCATCTGAAAATAATTTTTGATGGATAATGTTTAAAATAGTTACTGAATATTATTACCAATGATGTAAAGTTCTTCACTGATACCTTGCAGCATAACAACTATAACTATGCTGTGCCAGCTAAATACCTGACATCTCTCACTTTCCCTAAATTGAGGAAGAACTTTTTTGGGGCTCAGTGTCCTAGTCTGCCATCCACTGGGAGATACTTAAAAAACTCTTATTTGAATAGACTTGTCCATGCAGTTCATGAGAAATCAAAACCACCATTCATGTACTGTTATACTGTAATTTTTATAGGAATTTAAAGAATTCATTTATTCTACTTATCTTGCAACAGTATTCCAGGCAGACAGATCTTTGGTATATAATGTTTCCACCTTCTGATTGTAATGACAACATCACTAATATTGTGGCCAAATGTTCAAGTCAAGACAATTTATTACTTATCATCATCAATTTATTACTTATTATCACATATTCAATTTTTTATATTTATTTATATGGATCATTGATCACAATATATGTGATGTATGTAGGTATATATAAAATATATAGACAATATAAAAATAAATATTAAAATCATTTAAAAATGATACAAACATTTGTTATCAACTTTTTATTGTATTAAAAATGGGGAACTTCCAAAATTCTTCCAAACCTTAGTATATTTTGTAAATAATAAGAGTGAGCTACTATGTTCCTTAGCGTTATATAAACTGCAACAT